CAGCCACACAGCCAGCCACACCCATCACACGACCACCACAACCACCTCCAATATCACCTCTGCCTTCTTCACATTTGCCCATGCCTGGTGGACCGGGTGCACCCCGAGTCGTAATGGGCGCTCGGCAGCATATCGAATTGGCCCAAAGACGTGCAACGGCCGCTGCCACTGCATTGTCGGCTGGATCACTAGAGTCTGGTACTTCGCAGGGAGCTGCGCTCAGATTTCGCAGCTTTACGCAATCTGTCTTATCAGGTTCAGGCCGGCTTGATTCGGTAAATCAAATTTGGCTCTACGTCCTTACTTTCCACCATTGTTATCATCTTAAATTCATCATTCATTAGTGCATTTTGGTGTTGGTTCTATTCCAACTCATGTTCCAGGTCCTAGAAGCGTCGAGGTTCATTTTCAAAGTTTCCTTCATATTTATTTACTTTTATAACATAATGCTTCATTTTTCTTTCATAAACTTCTTTGCCCAGCTTTGTGGCTGAATTCAGGCATAAATTATGCTTGCAAAGGAATGACAGCTAATTCTTTTTTTCATTTATTAGTGTGGGTTTTTATTCATTTCATTTTACGGCTATTTAGTAACCAACTTGTCTAGAATATTATACACTATCCGGCTGGAAATCTAAAAATTGCTAAACCATGGGCATTTTAATCTATCGTCTTAAATATGAAAGGTTTTATCAAAAGGCTGACAAAACTTTGTCTAATCCGAATAAACTAGTCCAAGTATTCGTTATCCAATAAAAATCCTCAAAACGACTTGTTTGTTTGATCGGTGATGTCTGGTTGATAATGAGAAGCTAAATTTGACTTAGTGTCTCCATTTCACGCTTCATGCACTAACAATGGCGTAACTGTCTATCGAGGAATTTGATGAGGGAAGTGGGTAAACTCTGCCCTGAAGATGGCTTCCAAGTGTTTTAAGCTAGTCGGGTAAACTTAAAATGCTTTGGAGAAAATACACTTTGAAAGTTTTGTATGAAATGGTGAGTGGAGGTATCATAATATAATTAAAATATAATGATTATTGAAGTTTTTTGACCTTGTTTTCGCAACTTGGTTATAGTGATAATAAGGCCTAAAGGAACGCACCTCATCCGGAGTCCAGAGTATGATCGTGGACGTGGTACATTCCGAGACGTTTCGCCGGCATTGTCAGTGAGTCTCGCCATGCTTAACACCACACTACAACTAGTCAAATAGAGAAGTGAAACTCATCCTTTGACCAATTGTCTGCTGAACAATCGTGATATCTCTCTTTCCTCTCTGGGCTAATCTCCAATCTTATATCTTCGTATCACGCCTTCACTATCGCGATTTTTTACCTGCTTATTTATATATGGTATGGTGTGTCCTTCTGAGCGGCTTTCATGAGAACTCTTCACGCTTGACGCTAGCTTTCTCACCACTCTCACCCCCTTCACTCTTTTGCTGGAAATGTTGATCAGAATCTGCCTTATTGTTACGCCGTCCTCCCCACATTGAGCCCAATCAAAGCAAGCTGTACCACATCATTTGTTGGTTGGTACACAGGAGACTAGGGCATAGGAAGTCACAAACTTGGTGTTACTGATAGAAACGGGACAGATGCGGCGGAGACTAGAGCTAGTTGGCTGACCATAATAATAGACGTAGTCTATGAAGCAAAGGCTTGACCATGAGAATTACGCAGTAGCGTTAGCCTCAAGTCAGTCTCCCAGAGGCAGAGAGTGGGAAATAACGCCTCAAGTTGCATAGATGGGCTGGCATGGGTCCATTGCAATAATTGAACCAGGTAGATAACAGATGGATCCTATGGGGCAAGAGGGTGACTCTGAAAAGACGTATGGAAGGATGACTGCGTAACAATAGGGCAGGTTGATCAACATTCCTAGCGTACGGGTGAAAAGTGGTGAGGGGGGTGAAGGTGGTAAGAAGGCCAGTGTGGAGAGTTCTCATGAAAGCCGCTCAAATGGGTAGGTACACCATACCACAATTTAATAAGCAAGTAAATAATTGTGATGGTGAAAGGGTGATCGAGGATATAGCCTAGGAGGGAAGGAGGGATACCACGATTATTTAGCCGATAATTGGTCAAAGGATCGGCTTCATTTGTTTCTTTGACGAGTTGTAGTGTGGTGCAAAGAATGGCAAGACTCACTGATGATGCTGACTACGATGCCGGCAAAATGTCTGGGAATATCCCACGTCCATTGTCCTACTCTGGGAATTATCTTGCATACTTGGACTTCGGACCAGGTGCGTTCCTCTAGTTCTTTCTACCAATATGACCAAGTTGCGAAACTAAGGTCAAACAACTTCTATACAACCTAAGTAGACTGCGACCACACAAAAAGCCACACCATCTTAGTCTTCATACCTTCTTTTATAATTATTATTGTTGAATGAGGACTAAGATGGTGTTGATTTTGTTTATTAATGCACTTTGTTCGGAGTCCATTACCATAGTAGTCCTGATCATTTCCAGCATCAGAACATTGGCTTGATTCCTTCACAGTCCTCTGATCGGCATCGTCGATGTTAAGTTCCGCGAAGGTTGCAAATGCGAGGTCAAGCTAACTTGCATGTTACTTATGCTTTACAGGTGGGAGAAAGGGTCACATAAATATGTCTCATCGGAACCCTTGCAATTCATTAGTCTTCTGCAAAGACCTCCTTGTCTCGTCGTCTCGCAGCCATAACATAAATTAGAACTTGTACGATAGTTCCCTGACTAAGGCTAGCATAACAATGATTCTCGCTCTTTCGTACTTCTAAACCCCCTCTGCTTCGGAAACCCGACTTTCCTGTTACCACATTTTTTTCGATCTTTATCTCATTTCATTATTCTTTGGCCTCTAGATCTGGTTTATTTGAAACTACTGTTGAGGTCTATTATTTTCCTTTGCCATTTATGCTTCATGCTTTCCCGCCTCCCCATTCTGGTCCATCCTCTTCACTCTGTTCAGCTTATGTTTGCGCGGTTTAATAAATCCCATACTCTCATATACAACCCACATGTACTAAGAGCTTACTGAGTTTATCCTAATATCATCCATTGTTATACTCAGGCGGGTTTGAAATATATCTAGATCGAAGTTGTTTGACCTTGTTTTCGCAACTTGGTCATATTGGCAGGAAGACCTAGAGGAACGCATTTTGTCCGGAGTCCATAGTATGCTTGTTAATTTCCCAAGTCGGACCATGGACTTGGTACATTCCCAGACCTTTCGCCGGCATTGTCAATGAGTTTTGCCATTCGTAGCATCACACTAGAACTCGTCAAAGAGACAAGTGAAGTTGATGTTTTGACCAGATTTGTGCTAAACAGTTGTGGTATTTCTCCTGTCCTGGGCTATTCACTTATTATATATTCTCGTATCACCCCTTAAATATCACAACTTCTTACTTGTTTATCTAAACCTATTTGAAACCTATCAAAATTCCTTGCTGGTTTCCACATCCCTCTCACTTTGTCGGGAGTGTTGATCCAAGGCTGCAGTTTAATCCGCTATTCTCTCTCTTCTGGTCTTATCAGAATCCCTCTTGCTCCGTAGGATTCTTCCTTATCTACCTGTTTCATTGATTTCACT